CTACATTTACCAAGCGCGGGGGGTGGCTGCGGCCGTCTTTCGGAAATGTGCAGAAGACAGCTTCTTGTAGTTGTAGTCAATCCTGCTCAGAGGCCTTCCCAATCTGCCGAGCAGATGTCACCGAACCAGAAGCCCAGAACGACCGAACTTTCCAGAGCTCATCGTACTGTAGGTGGCTGTTGCTTGCCGGATCACTCTCCTCCTCTGCCGAGAGAAATGGAAGCGGTCCCATGCAAATATGGCAGCTTCTCGTGCTTCTGTACGTACTCTGCACCAATCCAGCCGTGTCGCATCGGAAGGACTGGAAGGCTACTTCGCGACTGGCTCTGCAAGATATCCACTCGCAAAGCATTTTTCAGACGTCCTCTTCAAGAGCTGCTGAACTTGTTGCTGGCGCCCGCCACTGCATGCAAGTCTGACAGCAAAGTGTGGGATTACGGGGATACCTTCCGGTTTTTAATCTCAATCGTCCCATCATGCTTGTGTCTGGGCCAGAGTCTGGGTACGTGTACAATCCGCATGCTACTCGAACACACAGGTAACTACTCGTGCGTGCCTGTAAACGGAACATCTTGTCTTCGATGAGACCACTCATGATGAGGCGGTAGACCCTCACCTGATCATGAGAACTGGTCTTCAAGAATGAGACGGCATTCTGCATTCGGTTCGTGCCTCTTTGTTCTGCCCAATGCGATATGCCCTGTCTACGGCCTGAACGAAACGAGACACATATGCAGTCCAAAACCAAGCGGAAGTTGGCCTGCGCATCAGTGGCAGGGTTCCAAGCCTGAGGGTGGACAAAGTAGGGTCGGGGAGAAGGGAAAGAGACATCACGACCAAGCCATGACCCCGGCAGGATCGACGATCACCACGCGGTCGGCGGCCGTCAAATTCAGGCCAACGCCCCCCACAGCCGTGGTCAACAACATGCACCTGGGCCGTGGGCATAAGGCATAAATTCCACAGAAGAGGGCCAAGAAAGCGAGATTCCAGCGTGCCGAAGGGTTGGCATAATCTATATAAACTAAAATATCTCAATTTTTCGGGCCGGCAAAGCCAACCAGCTTTATGCCTCCTATGGTCGCAGCATGTCCCAGCCGGTCAAGGGCATACTACCAGTGATGTGCTCAGAGCCGTCGAGCAACGCACTGTCTTTGCTAAATGCTCACAGTTGTTGCAAAATTTCACTAGCAAAGGAAGCAAAAGGTGGTTGGCATGTGCCGGCCCGAAAATGCCAATACACCCTACAGAATCTTTAACGGGCGAAACAAAGTCGCAGTGCGCAGTCACGCAGCTGCGCGTGCTAGCGTATTGTTCGCTGTTTCTCACCGTGCAGAAACGTATCTCGTCCGAAAGTGTTAGGCAGGTGCGGGCGCAATGCAGAAAGATAATTTAAGTCACTCTGCACGCAAATGGCCATACTGCGAAGTTGAAAGCAAGTCCCGATATTGCAGCAAAAGAAGTTCTCCGAAAGTGGACACAGAAGGGACCTTCAAGTCGGAGGGACGGGGGACACCCACTGACCACCTTGTCACCAAAGGAACCTGCAGTGTGGCTGGTAAGTCTAAAGTGAACGCTGGAAAGACAACTCCCGTAAGCCACGGGGCTGTCGTGAACTGTAAGCAGATATGCTAGCTTTGTGCGATGGACTGTGACCGAGTGAGAGTCTGGGCCGGTCTGATGTCAGCTCCTTCCCGGGTTTTGCCCACGAACTTAGCACAAGACCAAGCACTTCTTGAGAGCGGCCCGAAGTGCATGCCTGCGGGCCTGCCACCCCTGCGGTCTGCGCAGAACACAGCGAAGCCGGCGACAGCCAGCATTTCCCCATCGCTTGATTGAGCGCTGTTATCCTGCCATGAAACACAGCAAAACGATGCCCAGGGTAGAAAAAGGGGAAAGTAGGGTTGTCAACCATCCAACCTGCTTTGATGCGCTTTGGTTGACAATCACTTGACTATGCGCACATGGCATCAGTACATCAATGTACAAACAAGCCTCCCGGCCGACCTTGAAAACAATCGACCAACAGCTTTTTCAGACTTTCTGTAAAGTTGTAGCTGCACAGATGTGATCGAGCCATGGATTTCCATTCCTCACGCAAAGAAACCGACAGCGCAGGCAATTTTATAGGTAGACGACCAATACCGAGACAGGGGATGACAGGTGAAAATCTATCACTCCCATGTCTAGATTGACAGAAAGCCTTTGACAAAGTGAGCCAACGATAGTTTCGTGTGCTTTTTATTTTCCGCGGGAGTTGTGAAGCTGGGCAGGGCTCATTGCATGCACTTGAGCTTGCTTTGAACGAAATCAAATGTCAAACGCGGTGATTACTGTCAAACTCGTTCACCCATGAAGCTGACGGTGATCATCCGTGCCAATCACATGTGCCTGCTGTCAAAAGCAAGAACCAGAACCAAGCGGCAACGAGGACGAGAACCTCTGTCTTCAACCTGGCAGCCACTGGCAGCCTGACCATTCAGCTCAGACGCTGGAAGCGATCTGGCTGGTTGTTGAACTTCGACACCTCCCACGACTTCAATCAGCCGAGGGAGGGCCATAGAGGGCAGTTGGTGAATGATTCGGCCTTTTCAGCTCGTGCCTGGGCATCTGTTTGCCCGTCTATCCGCAGACATCGAAGGCCTTCGAGGCAGCAGACATCCAGTTGAGTGCGACGGCGACGATGCAAGGCCGCGTGCCATGGGGCTTCAGGCAGCAGATCTGGACCAGGTCAAGCATCTTGACCTAGGCTAGGGCACGATCGGGGCTGGATTCCATCTTGCGCTTGCTGCTTCGCATTTCTGCGCCTTGTAGTCTTAGCTCCCGGCACTCTGAGAAAAAACCAGGCTGCGGTGGCCTGCCGCATTGCCCTTATTCCAGCAAGTTCCATGCCGCGTTCATTCCGCACCTTGGGAGGATAGCTCGGGCAAAAGTCTTGCCAGGCACTGAAGCTTGGAGCTCTGCAGCAGCACGTCCTGAGCACATGTGCAGGAGTCTGCTGTCGGGCATGAGTCACAAGGAAAAGACATCAGCCTGGTGGCTTCGAGACCTGAGCAGGAGCTAAAGAGGCCACTACTTTGCCCTCTGCATCCCTCTGAGAAGCCGGCAAGGATTTCAGAAGTGACTCCACATCTTGGCCGCACTGAGCATCGTCCTGCGCATCCCGTCGATCGCAGCAGGCACCCGGACAAAGGAGTTGCCAGCACATAAGACATAGGCAACCTTCAACCAGTCCTGCTGATCTGCAGGAGCCTCCGAGGTTTCTGTCGCCTTAGCTGCAGCTGCAGTGTGATATTCCGTGCCCCTCACACAGTCAGGGGCTGGACGGTGGCATCCTCCTGTTGCGCACTGCGCTCAGAGATCTCACGAGAATCGTCAAGCTGGCTCCTTCTGCTCGTCTGAAGTCTCATTGGTGGCTTCTTGCTCCTTCGTAAGCAGCGTGCATCTTTGGTGGATCGACGGCTAGTAATTACTTGTTGCATTCCGTACAGTGCTGGGAATGTCAGGGCAAGGTCCTCTGCCGAAGCTTGCACCTGAACAAATGGCAGCAATTCTGCGTGTGATCAGCAGGACAAGCTTCAACCTGACGTCCAGTCATTGGCCTCTTGTAGAAGGTTTGCCCAGTCCTTTATCGTTGGCATAGGCCTCAAGCTTTGCTGAGCTGCACCGCAATGCCGCAGCAACTCAAACAGGTTGGAACCAAGCAGCAGCAACAGAAGCGGATGATTACAAAGGCGCTTCAAGAGGCCGATTGCTCGGAAGACCTGCATATGATGTCGACTGATCCGTACACACAAACTCAACGCACCCCGTCCTCGATGCCCAGCTTGGACTTCACACAGGCTTCCTTGATGACTTCGCTGTCCTCGAGCACCTGAGACACCATCCAAGTGTCAGTTCCACGCTGCTGCATTTTGCAAGCATGTATCCGGTGGCACCTTCTTGTACGCAGCCTTCTGCTCGTCACTGGGAACCAGCCAGACCTTATGAATCTCAAGGGCAAGCGGGTTTTGTATTGTCTCCTGGGCTGTGGAAGGTCGCTGCAATAGTCTCCCTCTTGCTGGGCAGCTTGGTCACCACCTCCAGCCCGGGGAGATAGCTGCAGAACGCAGATTGCTTTAGCAAGACGAAGGCCAGAAGGGTGAAACACAGAAGAGCCCGCGGCCCCCTCAATGTCTTTCTCTTCGCTGTCGGCTTCCTCTGGCCAAGAGCAAGCAGTACTCCTTTCTCTCCGAGCATTGGCCAGCCCTCACCTCGAAAGCAACATCCTCAGCTACTTCAGATGCGCCGCCTGCAACATTCTCCATGCAATCACGCGTTCGTCTCGACGAGGCATGCCTAGGGCCTGGCCTGTGAGCCCAGCATTGACCTTTGTCCGGCGCAGGAGATGCGGACGAATCAGAGCCTGGAGCCATATGGAACCATGCACCAGATATTCACCTTCGATATCTGAAGCATGAACATCTCCAGAAGAATTAAACTTCGCCAGTGATCACAAATAATGTTTGTATCAATGGGTATTCCGTGTATGCGTATCCACACTTTCCAGTTGCAGCACATGCAAAAGCTTGGCAGGCGCACCCGAAGTTGCTCAGCCAAGTGTTTCTTCAGTTCGACAGCCCAAACCTCACAGAGGGAGTCGCCGAGCTTCCCTTTGTTTTAGCACTGAAGGCTTGACGCTCCAACATACCAAGGAGCCTTTGCACCTCGCACGCTGCCTTTGTCTATGGGCTCACTGAAGTTCTTGACAAACCTCTCAGCACCAAGTTTACGTAGCGCGGCATTGCAACGAAGCAATGCCCTCAACTGTGGGGGCCACGTTGCATGGTTGCCCAACAGACCAGGCTGCGCAAAATCCATCAATGCCCACAGGTCCTGCGCCAGAATATCCATCCAGTGCTTGGTTGTGTCGCTACATGATGAATAGTGACTACGGCTACACCGGAGATCGTGATTCTCGATGGCAATTAATGAAGGTTTCAAGTGCCCAGGTGTTCACGGACACAGGCCCCAACCCTGGCAAACACATGTGAAAGCCTAGATGCCATGAACCGCCCTAGAAGAAGCCACAAGAGCATTTGTGCGTCTTGTGCATTGCAATCAAGTCGGGCGACATCCCTTTCTCGGCGGCGGTCGGTGCTTCTTCGCCGTTGCTTGTCGGAGCCGTCAGGTTCTGTATGGTTCTGTAGATTCCTGCGGGCCTGGTCCTGGGTGCTCGGAGTGTGGGCTGTGTGGTGCCCGCTGCTTCTTCGATGTCCGCGACCAACTGGAGACCATTGGAGCTCCACCCGTCCAGCAGTGTCGTACAAACAAGCGCCAGGTCAAAACCAGCAAAAACGCGCTCGCCGCTGCCGCCGCTTCTTAACAACAACTTGGGGCAGGTTGCGAGGGCCACATCTGCTAGTGAACACCGGTGGGCAGCCTGCACAAACCCTTTTTTCCATTCCGCTTCCACTCACGTGTGCAACACTGCTGTAAGGCCTGGTGCAGGTTAGTTTAGAAGACAGTTGGTTGCAGGATGTTGAGTGCGGACTTGCATCTCTATCTTGGACGATCTGTTTATATCTGTTTTGTGCGGTGACTGTCAATTATTAAGCCAAGCCTCAGACTTCCGTTGTGGATTTGAGCCAGAGGCGCGATGAGAAGTGTACGTTGGCTGAAGACCGCGGTTGGCTTCCTGGTTCCCCGTCCCGAGACTTGAGCCAAACCCTCTTCTTCCACACAGTCAAGGAAAGGGCAAGTCACCCCTTCCCGCGCGCGCACGCGCCCTGCAGCCAAACCCTCTCTCTCTCTCTCTCTCTGTTTTCTGCGGGCCAGGGGTCCCTCTCTGTCGCTCTCGATTCCCTTCCTGCACGATACTTGGACCCACAGCCCCTTGCCGTGGAGAATTCTTCTGTTTTCCCACAAGTACCCATGCACCAGAGCATGTCCTTGAACAAATCTCGATCTGCACAGAAACTCTCAAACCTCAATCACTCCCTTCAGGCAGACTTACAGAGTCCTGAAGAGCATTTTGGACCGGCGTGCCCGTGAGCAAGATGCGGCAAGATGACTTGAGCTTCCGAAGGCTCTTGGCCAGCAGTGAAGACATGTTCTTCATCCTGTCCATGGCCGTCTTAGGCGTGCGAAGCGCTTTCAGCAGCAAGATTGGGCGCCTGTGTGCCTCATCACAGACGACCAGATCCCAAGACCTGGGAATTCATGCTGCCAGCTTGCAACAACGGGCGTGCAGTTGTGCAGATGACCTGTTGATACTCTCACTACCAGACCCCTAAACCTGTGCGACTGCTTTGCAGAATCGGTTGAAAGCGGCATCATAGTGCAAGCCTGCCCGAGAAGATTTCTGCAATCCAAGAGGCCTGTGACTGCCAAGCGCCGGGAGCTCTCCGCCCGGAAGCTCAGGCTCCAATGGCTCCTGGAAATAGACTGAGTCTGTGGAGTCCGTTACATGAAACAATGCATGCTTCCTCTTCAGAGTCACAGGCTTCGTCGCAGCCATCGTCATCGTCCAATTTACAGCGTTTGGACGGCTTCTCACCCCCAGGCCTCAAGCCCACTGAGGCCGAAGTCAAGTCTCTCGGCAACTTGAGAGACATTTTTTTAAGCAATGAGACGACAGACCGGACTTGCCACGGTGGTTCGACTTCAGCTGCGCATCATCAAGTGCAGGTTTATGAGCTTGGAGGTCTCGAAATGACAAATGCCACGCGCCAAAATCCACACAAAGCTTGCACTCTCAAAGAGTCCCTGGCTTTCGTCCACGGCGGTGAGTTGGCTCGGGGACGTCTTCGACCTGCACCTCGCGAGGGCGACGGCTTTCTCAGCACAGCGATGCATCGCGTTCGGGGCCTCGAGCAGCTCTTCGCAGTTGCTGAGAAGCGAGTAGGAAGTTAGCAAGAGCCCTGCGAAGAATCGTGGGCGTGCTGAGCACTTTCACGGACCGGAGCTCAGCCTCCCATAGGTCTCCGAAGGCCACGCAAAGCCTTCGCCCGCTGCGCCGCGGTCCCGTAGTACGTGTACCTCCCCAGCATGCCCATGCTACTAGGATGCCTTTGGCATTCCGAGGAGCGCACACAGGCCAACCTGGACACCACAACCGCGCCTCGCGGCTCCACCTGAGCCGAGGCCGAAAGAGAGTTTGGCTCTCAGTTCCGTTTGCCAAGTGCATCCTGGTGCAGCCAAGGACACTGATCCAGCAATGTCACTGGCATCAGCAGCAGCGCATGGGTTGCACCCGCTTTGCGTGCGCCGTTCAACAAAGCACACACCTGCAAGCAAGAAGACATCTCCCACACAGTGTGCAGTTTCCAACACTGCTCCAAACCTGGATAGTCTTGCCGAGACCCATCTCATCTGCCAGAACACCGCCGTGCCCCTTCTGCCAAAGCCTGGATGGCTTCAAGGCCAGTAGACATCCTCTTCGGAAACGAACGCGCCAATTGCCTGGCCATCCATGCCACTCCCTTCTGCTGGTAAGGGTAAAGACGGTCGAAGATGTCCACGGCCAACGTAAAAGTGGGCCCCTGGACAGTCATTTATGAGCTCCGGGCACTTAGGCAGCATATGCAGCATTCTTTAAGGTAGGTGTTTGAAAGCATGGCATCTGAGGGAGTCCTCGGCTTGCAGAGCTTCCAGTCTCACCAGGTTCGTGTCGCCAGGGTCGGGGCGCCAAGCGACCTCTGCAGCCTCGTTCTCCAGGCGGCGCCGTTCCACATCTTCGTCCTTGAGCTCCTCGCCCTTCAGCTAAGTCTGACACTCAAGCCATGTCCTTGAGCGTGGCTTGTGATGCGCACAGACTGAGCCCGCAGCTCGCGCCGGTGTTGGCATTGTTTCAAGCCGCAGGGTCTTGGCAGTCTATAGTGTGTCAGCAAGCAGAGGAGTCGTCCGGGGACTTCTCTACGAGTCTCCCCTAAATCCATGTAACACTGTATCACACTGTTTTCGACGTAGAAGGGCCGCCACCTGCAAGTTCTGCTCATGAGCAAGGATCTCCTGCTTGGCCTCATGTGCCCCAATGTAGTCCTCCCAATGCCAAGCCGAATCCACGGGATCCACGATTGCGAAGCATGCAATACCATGCACCTTTCCAAAGCGAGTCCTCTTCTTCTAACCGCTGCATCTTGAGCCTTTGAAGCTCAGCGATTTTGGCCTGTCAGGTCGACAGTCGACAGTACGGCACGTTGCGCTAATCCGTGACACCGCCTGGCCTTGCACTCTGCAACCTGGGCTGCGATGGACCTGCGCCTGCGGGTGGAGATGGATACAAAAGCCCTAAGCCCACATGAAGGGGCCATGACTAGCGAAGCAGATGCCGCATGTCCCTTCTTGCCTCGGAGTGGCAGAAGAATGTCCCGATGCGATGGAGGAGCGACCTGTGCGGGCAACAGAGGTGTTTTCAAGGTCCAGTGCGGAGCATTGCGGAGCCGGCCTTTTGGAGGCGATGCCTGAAGTCCAGGCTGTGCTCAGCTCATGGCAACAGAACGCCAAACCCACGGCTAGCCATAAGTTGGCTACGAAAGTCTCGCTTTCGTCTGTTTTTGTGGTCGCAGCAGCTGCATCCTGAGGGCAAAATGCAAAACATGCAAACTTCTCTCGGTGTGCTTACTAGGCCTCGGAAGCATCAGGCATGGGTGTATCGTCGTCCTTCGCTTCCTCCTGGGCTCAGGTGTGGCGGACACCGCATGATGTTAGCTGCGCACGAGTGCTCCTTTGGTGCCGCCTCCTCCCCAGCCTTGCCAGCCCGTATAATTAGCCCATACGTCAGTGCGCAGCAGACTGAGCTAAGCTTTTCCAGTCTGACTCTGGCCCTGGCCTCACTCTCCGACATGTCGTCATCGCAGGCCGGCTGGTTGCTGCAAGCCTCACGATGGGAGAGACCCATCCGGCAGAACTTTGCAGTCCGCATCGCCCGTCCTCTTCAAAGCCACTGGTCAGCAGCGCAGTGAACTCTGCCTCAACGTCGCCTCAACCGCTTTGACCCTCCAGCATCGTCGAAGCTGCACGACTCTCGCTCCAGCAAAAGCGCATAGGCTGTGGGAAAACTGGCTATGTTGCGGTCTCGTGGTGCGTGCCATGGACCCGGACACTACGGTCGTCAAACTCCAAAAACCTTACAGTTATCTTCTCTTTCAGTCTCGCCTGCCTTCCGACAGCGCTAGCAACCCAGACCGAATTTCTTGGCCTTGGCCTGCCAGCTTTGCACTCTCCTCGGCACCTGCCACGAAAGCTGAAGGCTTACAAAGTGGTCCTCTGTACCTGTCCCAGCCTCGCTCGGGATCGGACTCCAGGAGCTCCGCTGTGATCACAGCCGGCTGACCTGACAGCGCTAGCATTTCCGAAACTTCACGGTCCGAATTGGCTTGCAGGCTTTAGTATGCCGGCTTTGGACTGCAGCAGGCGGACACTCGAAATGCGCCCCCCCCCCACCCCTGCCCCAGTTTTGCGAGCGCCCATCTCGGGATATGTCCGATGTCTTGCGTGCTACAAGTATATAGCTGTTTGATAGCTCATGGGCACTGGGGCCCCATGGTGAAGTCCGCTAAAGCGCAACACTCAGCTGACCCCACGCGAGCACTGACCCCACGCGAGCATACGCAGCTACATCGGTATCGTGCCAGAGTGAGCAACTTTTTGCAAGCCGAACGCTGGTGGAAGCACACTCTTGCACCTGCGTCCTAGCCCAAAACAGTCACCTACTCAGCTGAGCGGCTTCGAGGCTGAATCAGAAGCTAAGCTGTGTAGCAATGCTCGAAAGACGGAACAGCAGTCTGGAGCAAGCCGCACAGCTCAAGGGGCTTTGCGCATAGTTTGAACGATCGGAATGCCTTGAGGCGCAGTGCTATCATCTGGGCGATGTTGTGGAGGGTCGCATGTGCTCATTCCTTCCCGGTTCTCGCAGGGATGCTGAAACATGTCCTATGCTGCAATGCAAGCTCGACATGGACCAAGGCTGTGACGGCAATCTGTGGCATCGTGGGGCTTGTCCGAGTGGCCTGGGGCGAAATCGACAAGCCCCGCCGCAGAGCTCAAGCATCTCTAAGCCCGTGCCTTGATCCACGACCATGGGGTGCGAGTCGCTGTCGAGAAGATCACCACCTGGCTGCTCACCTTCAACTGTGCGAAGTTCATGCGCATCTATGCAGTATGCTTACATTCCAGAACCGTCTTGACCGCAATTCCTCTTTGTGCTTCGATAGCCACGTGGGAATAGCCAAGAAGAGGCTCTGAGCATCTCGAAGCTAGAAGATGCTCGAAAGGTCGGCGCTGCGTGCATGCTGAAACCATCGCATCCAATCAGAAACAAAAGCCCTCAACCGAGAAAAGGCGATTCTCTGACCACGGATGTTGTTTTCACGCGCAGGTGCAGACGGAATGGTACTAAGCGAACGTGGAAAAGCCACGAGCCCCTAAAGGCATGCAAAGACCCTCCCATCAATTGCACGCCCCGTTCGCACAGCAGCAATGCCTTCAAAGCTGTCAAACTGGCAATGGCGATAGCCGGTCAGTCTATCTTTCATGCACGGAATTGCCGGGAAGTGCACCACCTGGAGTTTCGAAATGCGGTTGATACTGATACTCTTCGTGAGTGTTGACATCGGGCAGGATTGAACCTCGATTCCACACCGTCCGCGTGCCAATCCTTTTGCTGAGCATGCAAGCAATTTATTTGTGCTCTGACGTGACCGAAGCGTACCTAAAACTGGCCTGGCAACGTACTCCGTGTGCACGAACGTACACGACAACAAGACAAGGCCGGAGACAAGGGTCGCTGCCACTGTTTAGCATAACTCAGAATCATGCACAACTACGACATTATCATTGGCCTGCGGCTTGGAGCTGAACACATCGGAATGCCTTGAGGCGCAGTGCCATCATCTGGGCGATGTTGTGGAGGGTCGCATGTGCTCATTCCTTCCCGGTTCTCGCAGGGATGCTGAAACATGTCCTATGCTGCAATGCAAGCTCGACATGGACCAAGGCTGTGACGGCAATCTGTGGCATCGTGAGGCTCGTCCGAGTGGCCTGGGGCGAAATCGACAAGCCCCGCCGCAGAGCTCAAGCATCTCTAAGCCCGTGCCTTGATCCACGACCATGGGGTGCGAGTCGCTGTCGAGAAGATCACCACCTAGCTGCTCACCTTCAACTGTGCGAAGTTCATGCGCATCTATGCAGTATGCTTACATTCCAGAACCGTCTTGACCGCAATTCCTCTTTGTGCTTCGATAGCCACGTGGGAATAGCCAAGAAGAGGCTCTGAGATGCTCTGAGCATCTCGAAGCAAGAAGATGCTCGAAGGGTCGGACCAGAAATCATCAGGAAATCTCTGGAGATGTTCAGCACTACGACCTTTGGGTCGATCGTTCCATGGTGAGGGTATTTCCTCCACTGGCTGGAATCCGCTGGAACCGTTTGCAAGGAACACGGCCTCCAAAATTGCTGAGGCACCTCTGCTTGGCTCCTGACCTCGCCTAATAGCATCTATGTTAACTCAGATGAAGCCAAGTCGCCTGCAAGGGCCTCTCTTTGACCTCATGTCACAGGCTCTGACCCCGTGGGACGGGGGAGGATGGGCCCCGCACTCGCCGAGGCCGCCGAGGCCGGCGAGGCCAAAGACACGGGCTCAGGCGAGGCCACCAGCGAGGCGGCGTCGCTGCGGCTGAGTCCTGGGAACAGACGATGGATCGGCGATGAGTCGTTTCGAAGCCAAGCTCCAGGCTGCTGGGGCTAGAGAAAATGCGCCCGAGCTGTTCCAACATCAGGCTCCTGCACGCGTACATGGACAGCTTGTGGTGAACGTCATGCGCTCTGGTCTTGCCTTGCAATTGAAGGCCGGAAGTCAGACAAGGGATGTTGAACAACGACGGCTGCGGATTATTAGGCTGCCTGAGCTTTGTCAGCCTTCACCTGCTGCTGCACCTCACCCCAGCATTGACAACCCAATGCCATGGGGATCCACAGGATGGCGCTGAGGAGTCATGAAAGTGCTCGATCTATGCATGTCTAGACAAGTGCTCGCATGATGTGTCGGAGCTTGGTTTTCTTCACTGAAGTGCAGCACGGATGACCGCATCATCACCTCAGCTGGTATGCAGCACAGAACCTGCAATACAAGGCCAGGTGCGGACCCCTGGCGGCCAGGGCCTGGCCTGCTGTCGTACATCGGCAAGATGGGAGGAAGATTCATCCTTTCGACAACCTGGAGCAGTGGAACAGCGTATACATGTATCCAAGACAGTCCCCTGGCCTCCAGCGGGAGTGCATAGACGCAATGGATAGGAGCCAAGTCCACCCGCCTGCAGCGCACATTCAAGACGGAAAGCAGAAAGAGTTGTAGCAGCTCAGGGTCACCTCATCAGGGACAGCCCGGCAAGTCCGAAGAAGGTGTGGAAGACGTCTGGCCTTGTTTTTGGAGCTGGGCCCGGCCACCCCCCCGAACTGCAAGCTGCGCGTGCTAGCTGAGAAGACTAGACGCACATCACCAGGACGATCGGCAATGCCACCATCCTCTGACTCCCCCGAGAAGGAGCTTCAATTCACGCAAGGCTCTCTCTTGTCCTCGCCATCTTGCGCAGCAATGATGAAGTCGGCCTGAGGACTCCGTCTTCGTTCGGAGAAGGGCATCCAACGCCTTGGGGTCCGGCCAGCTTCTCCACATCAATCCAGTGCACCCGGTCGATCGTAGCTAGCGCTGAGAGGATCCACCAGCTGTAACATACATCAGGAGCCTTCGAAAATCGAATCAAAGACTGCGCCCTCGCGGACTTTACCATGCCAGCGAGCTATGCAGGCAGAGCCTTCTCAGGCCGACCATTGAAGCCGCCGCTGGGAGTCTGCCGCTCACATAGCCACCAACCAAGTTGGTCGACATCGATCTGAAACATAGTTTCATGGTGCCACTATGAGCCGTTAAATATGCTTCATGCTTATGGAGAACATAACCAGCATGCATGGGACTGAGGGTGCTGCTGCACCAAGGGCATCAACAAGGGCCAGCGCCTGCGAAGTTATGCCAATCTACATAGCATCAGTATTTGCTGTGTGCCATGTCATCGTCCGCGCCTGCACGGCGCAGAAAACGTAGGCTGCATGAGATTCTGCACGTGGCACCGGCCCAAAGGAACCTTCATAGTTCATGCAGCGCCTCGGTCGGAACAAGGTTGAATTCCCCGTCATGACGAGATTCATGCAATGCAATGCTGAGCTTGCGAAAGCTTGGCATACAGCAGAATCCATCCGACACAAGCATCCACATCGATGCTATCGAGGGCATCCAGAATCGTTAGCGCAGAAAGTGCGCAGTATGCAAACCTGCAGCGTACGGAGACTGCGACGGTGTGAAATCATTGGTAATCTGCATGGGCATAGTTATGTGAGTTATGTGATAGGCATGAGAAATTTTTTCTCTCCACGGAATCTGTGACAGTCCTTGGTGTTGGGCCTTTGTATGCCCCTTCAGAACCCCAAAACATTTGGGGATGGGACCGATTCAGTCGCCTCTGTGTCGGTATTGGATCTCGACATCCCAACGACGTCTCAAGAATCCGAACAGCTACCGGATGGGGTGGCTTCAAATCCTCCTGACTATCGCTGTTTTCGGGTCTTCATATCATTGCGACGTCTTCACAGCACCAACGGTCACGGGGATTGGTCTAGATGCGATCCTCGTGGTCGTCGTCGCTTCTGGATATTGATGCCACTTCGATGCATCAGGAAGGCCAACACATGCCAACACTCGATTGTCATGGCATGGCGCCACGCGCGCCATGTTGCGGGTGCTCAGCGCCAGCAGAGGGCTGTCAAATACGAGGACAAAATGGCAGGCCAACACACTCGTAGCGCCATTTTGTGGGGAGCGGCGACTCCCGCTAGCCCAGCTCCGCGTGATAAAAGATACTGAATTAAATTAAGAGATAAGAAATCCTACGATTATGCAGTACAACCTCACGACTACCTAAGGCAGAAGCTCACATCGGTAGCATCTCATCATGCCGTTCAGACCACAACACACACCTTCGGATAAAATCATAAGATAGAATACAAACTGTACTCCACAATACATTACATAGACTCATCTTGCTTCTCGGTCTCATGCAATGACATGTGACAAGCTTTGGTTGAAAATCTCCGAAAGACCGAACGGAGTTTCTTTATTGGCCCTCGGAAAGGTTTGGATAATACCAGCAACAATCTTACTCTTTCTAGGCAACCGCGGTCTTGACAATGAACACTGGGGTTGGCTGCTGCGTTTTTGGCCACCTTATACGTAGACGCAAGCTTGTTTACGAACAGCAACAACGATCAAACCTCCATGCTGTCGGTTGACTACGTAGAATTCTGTGACAAAGGCGGAGCACATGCATGCAGTACCGTGCATTCGGCAGCTTTCAGATGGTTTGTACGCGCAAAACCATCTCACATGAAAACACACCACACCATCACTCTTGTTTGATTTTTTGTGACGCTGGGCGGAGCAGCCCCCTGTGCTCTTCTATGACGTCTGACACTTGCAATGAATCTTATCAATGTCAGAAGAAACACTCGTGCGCACCGGGCACGCACACACACGCACGCTTTTAGGCATCCATCACGCAGCCACTGACCTGTCTGTCTATCGAGCCCTGCACGAATCGTGAAAGCATGAAACTTTCGGGGCTTCCGGTACCAATCTGGACTGAAGGCTCATCAGTTGTTGAGAGGTAGCAGGTAGCTGGCTCCGATATATAAGACACTCAGCAATAAAGATATCGACCCCAGGCTTTTGGCTTGGCCTGGTTGCCATCCTCTCTACACTTCCACGTTAATGTTCGGCCAAGAGTGAAACCAACACAATTGAGGGTGCTTTGGGCCGGCCTTGCTTGCAGGTACAGGTGGTTGATCAGACCACCCATCTCCTGTCTTGGAATAGCTTCGTTGGCACAGGTATCCAAGACGGGCCTGTGCCCCCTGCAAAACATGTTGACTCTTAGTGACAGAGTTCCACACACACACACACACCATGCCACTCACACATAGACGTGTTCACAAGCACAAACACAGAGAGAGTGAGAGAGAGAGAGACCTACCGACGCATCACAGCGATGCTTGATGTATTATTCGACACATGTGTAAATGCTGCCCAAACAAGGGCCCGACATGCCCAAGCAACTCTGCGCAAAAACAGGATGAGACACGAAGGGCAAGTCGCAAATTTTCCAGGAGAGCTGAAGTGGGTGCACTGATAACCCTCAGGTGTTTGTAAGTGTGTTGAGGAATCATACTTGTGGGCATCTCCCACTGAGCAAGTGTCACGCTGACTGCCAGCAATCGCACCACCCAAAGCGAGAGATAGAGACGAGCAGACAGACAGAATCGTACAGGCAGACACACCCTCACACTTGACTGCAGCTTACGGAAAGCTCGAAGCGTGGAAATTCCCCCCAGCCTCACATCAACCTCCGGGCATTTTGCAGACAGGTCGGCAGTGCAACACTCATGTTAAGCTGTAAGCTGAAACCCTGCAATGCGCCTCACCCCAGTGATCCCCAGCAAAGGAGCCGTCATTCTGTTGCAAACCAGCAATGAAAGCCACCACGCCTCGGGTCAGCCGCATCAATTCTTGTTTGTGCATCTTTGCAAGCGCATCTTGCTTGCCAGGCACCTTCTCTGTCCAACTTGTCCGTGGCGTCAAAAATGCAAAGGACAAGCAAAGCCTCGATGGTACAAGTGGCAAGGTCGCCAACGAACGAGCTACAACTCAGTTTGAATTCATCCTTGCACGACCTCTACACGTTGCGTAAACGGACAACATCAATGGCGTTCAATGGCATCTACCGGGATCATAGGAGCAGGCATTGGTCAGCGTCTGCATAAAGCCATGCAATGATGCCACCCATCACACCCCATTGCGCAGGCAGAAACAGTACGGCAGATACCGCTCAAGAGAACGAGAGGCAAGTCCTAGAATAATTTGTATGCACTTCGTCCGAGCAGATAGGATCGCAGGAGCACCTGCAAGCAGAATGCAAAACAAATGGAGAACGGCGCGAGAGTCTCTGGAGGACGTGGGAAACTCGAACGGACTTCGGACTTCGTCAATGGCAGCATGGGGCCAGCTAAACCCCGAAGTTCAACCTTAGGTCTCGGCATAATGAGTTGCCGTGATGTCGGCATCATGTCCCACGTTCGGCCCGAAACCTCCAGGTGTTTTGGGGTCTCGACACCTGCAAGCGCTTTGATTCTGTGAGGACAGCAAGATACGTCTTCGGTGCTCTACACTGGCCTCAGGATCCATTCCACAATGCTGTCTCGCCTGAAGCACATGCAAACTGCAGCTTGTTTGCCTTTTGTGTTTGTGTGTGTGCCAAGCAAGCCTCTCATCGTCCAGCCGTCGCAGGAGTGCCATCGCCTCAGAAGGGCCGCGAAGTGGCTCTGCTGGAGCTTAGGGCGTCTCAGGCCCAGGCACTAACACCCCAATAGACGCCCCCCATACGCAGGTGTTCGGACCTCGATCCCCACCCCCCCCCCGTTTGGGCACCCTCATCTGAGAGTCCTCTCCGGTCGCCCCTGCTAAGGAATCAGCATCATGTATTCAAGAGACTCCTGGCCAAGAACATCGCGAAAGGAAGCTCGTGTGTATGCAAGCCTGTCTAAACTCACATACCTTGTCGTCATCCAGATGCTGCCTGGCCGGCACACCAATAGGTTCACATCACAAAAGCATGCCCCTGCATGCTTAAAAACAAGCATGACAATCTGAGGTGGCCACAAGTAGTAGTTGTGCTTGTCACGCAAGAGATCCTGCCCGCATTATCGGTCGGAATGACATCCTAGACGAAGTTTTGCCATGGTGCGGAGCCTCCTCCTTACTCTGGCTTGCCTGCAAGTTTAGCTACGGTGACTTTCAAGTGACTTCACCTTTCACATCAAGAGTACCCTCTGTCAAGCGTGATTGCCTGAACTGTGCCAACATATCCGCCCGAGCCAGACATTGCCCTTGCGCTTTGGCAATCATGGGATTTGTGCCGAGGCCCTGCATCAACCAGCCATTAGGGCATTCGTTGATTCCTGTCTTGAAGTTTCAGTTGGAAGCAACAGTGTGAAAGAGGCTTGTGCCAAAGGTCAATCCGTTAACCGTTAATATTCACGCAGCTTGGTGTGTTTCAGAAGTGGTGGCTTCATGGTGTCGCCATGCTGCATCATATTGCCCGATGTCCTGGAATCTCGGCCCAGCAAGCACGTAGCACTCTCCGCACCCCGTGAAGCAAGGACACAAAAAAGAGCAAACCGGCGTGTGCGCTCCACTCAGTTGACACCTCAAAGGCTTTTCTAAGGCGAATTCAGATGGCCGAAACACCATCAGGATTGGCACTACAAAAGAGTTTGAAGCCCCACATCACAAAGGTACAGTGATGTCGAGAGCCCCCCTGGATGCTTCTTACATGAGCAGTTCTTCATTGTATCGAATCATATCCTTCATTTCCAACTGCTGCTCAAAGGCATACAGGGGGGGCAGGGTGCAGAGATAATTGGCTGCTTGCGAGGGACTGCGCGTCTGCGAGATTCCACGCAGAAATAGTGGCATACATCCGGACCCTGCGCAGATCTTACTTCACTGCACGCACACTCCTCACCGCTTACGCGTGATGACGTTAAAATTGTCAACTGGAGCATCGAGTGAAGCATTGCTCAGAGATGCTGCTAAGCCGCTACGCCCTAGGCAGACTGAACAGTGGAAAAATCCACCCAGGTTTCAGCCTTCAAGGTGGATCGGGGTCTGAGGAGACGAAGCATTGATTTGCAGAGAATGCCTTGCATCCCCCCTTTCTGCACTGCGGGTGTCTTACACCAGTGCAGAAAGTCTCAACCTCGTTGTGCAGATTGCTGCATGCCCGACTGTGGACCCTTACAGGAGCCCGGTCCGCAGAGAGCTATGAAGCAACAAAAACTAATCGGAATTTCGTGTCACGGCATGGTACGAGTATGTTGCTATGCATTTTCAAGTTCCGTAGAACAATTTAGGATTTCCGGAAGTAGGACAATATAGGACAATAAAACAGATTGCTCGGCAATCCTTGAGCAGCCACGATTTGTGGCTTGCTACGGAAAAGAAGCAAGTGCAAGTTCTAGTTCTTGGCATCTACAAAGGCCCAGGCCGTAGATGCGATCCATCGCAATTAGCCATACTCAATGCCGCTTCACAGCGCCGAGAACGGCTATGGCAGCTATGGCGGATCGGCGGATCGAGCCTCGTCGAAAGGCTGGCGGAGAAAAGCTTCGCTTGACGGTTGACTTCGCAGTGGGCCTGAATCAGAGACGTGCTTCCGGCTCTGCATCTGGCATCTCCGCACCTGCAAAGTGAAGAGGTGAAGAGGCTGCCACGGACATCGGCAGCCTGGGCAGCCCGTCCAAGTTGCCTGGTGGCACATACACCACGCGAAGCACAGCGCCGGTCCTGAGGCCAGGCGCCCTAGCCGTGTCACCGTCCCCCCCTTCTCCCGCTTGCCAGTCCCTTCGGCCAAGTGGCACTTCCTCCTCGCACCTCACTCGTGCAAAGTCTCACTGCTTTCTTGGGGCGTGCCTTGGAAATGATCGGCAACTTGTCCAAGTGGCTGGAGCCAATCATGCTTGTTCGTCAAGTAGTCGGATGCTTCCGTGACACCGTTTGAGGGCCGGAGAACCTAACCACAGGCACAGGGCTTTTGAAGCACATTGCACTTGCCACTTCAGCCAGCTGACAATCCTCTCCTGCACCTGCAAGGCGGTAAGGAACTGATCACCACAAGTCCAGCTCTAATCTCAAACAACGCCCAAGCCTGGACGACAACAGGCGATTGGTCAAGGCTCGCCGCCACCTCGAAGATGGCTACACAGCTGACTCAGGACACCTCCTCCATACTCCTTGTTCACACGAGCCGAAGCGATGCAAAATCTAGTTTCGCGGCACTGGCCAGGGCGGTACTCACCGACGGATCGCAAAATAGCCTTCAGTAGGCAGGATGCAGGACGTCTTCGACGATCGAAGTCTAGAGACTTTCCGACAACCGCCAAGCTGCGCGACTCCCATGGCCTTGGCCTTCTTCGCTGCATGCATTAGCACCGCAGCCGACCAAAGTCCTCATGAGCAAAGCAGTGCCGTTAGCCGGCAAGGCAAGACAGGCAAGCCATCAGGTCGGCTTAAGTACCAAACACGACTCGAATTGAAGCTGAGCGGTTCAGAGTGTCACGCTCGTGTGAAAACCTCGGGCCTGTGTCAACATCAGCACGAAAGTCTTTGTTGACCTTCTCCAGCCAAAGCAGCGGCTGGTTCTTCGTAGTCCAAAGCATTTTGAAATGGGCACCTTCGTCATAAAGACTTAAAGCAAGCTGAATCTTCCACAGGGCTGGGCACCTTCAATCATGCAATCAGGGTGTCGGTAGGACGGTAGGAAAGGAAGGCCCCATGCCAAGCTCCGCACGACCCACTGGATGATGCGGGTAGCTTGGATCGCTGACAAGAATCACTTTGGATCTCGCATTGGCAAGCAGGGGCAAGTGGCCTAAGCTGGGAGAGATGCCGAGGACGGCATGACGAGACACGACGACACTGGCTGCAGCAGAGCCGCACTGAGCCTCCACATCAAAACCATGCGATGGGCCCCCGATTTTGGTGGCCCAGAACCTGACACCGGAAGCCATCATGAGCCCTATGCCACAGCCGTTGTCTTTGAGCTTCTACTGGTAAGGCAAAAACAAGCCCAGCTCGTTGTCCTCATCCTCGTGGATTTTGATGGTGCCGGACTCTAGCTTCACCCAGCCGCAGGACGCTTCCTGCCAGCTTGTTCAAAATTACACTCTGCTGCAGTGCGAGCGATCCAGGACATGAAGGAAATGGCACAGCCAGTGTTGGGGGAGCCTGCCAGATGTCAAGCTGGTTCTGAGAGAGACCTTCCAGCTGGCGTTGACCCACGGGGTTGTTGTAGCGCCAGAACTTGTACTTGTTCTCGAGCACCTGCAAACGGATCTGATGGCACTGGCAGCCGCCAGTCAACGACAGCGATGTCTAAGCAACATATCAGCATGTTGCCACTCTGGTGCCAGGGCGAGGGGCACTTTGTGTGATCTCCTGCACCACCCGATCGATCTCTGCCGTCCTGAGTTGCAGCTGAAAATGCAACGCCGCCCGGGCTCAGCAGGTTATCCATGATTATCGTCTGGCGGCGGAAGTGGCGCCTTGGACAGTGTCTGGTACATCCACTGCCGCCCTTCGTTCAAAGAGCGCAGGGGGAGCAACAGCTCGTTCTCAAGCGCCAATAGGACACCGTCCATCGAGACGGGTCCAATACTGTCCTCGGATGCACTGAAGCAGGAACGAAGACCACGTTTACCACCGGTATGAACTGACCTTTCAGCCGCTGATGGTCCCTCTGTGTCAGGGTTCAGCTTTTCTTTGCAGTACAGCGACGTGATTTTAGGTGTCGATTTCCTACGGAGCATGTAGAACTTCGTGCATGCGAGCAGTGCGATATGGAACGCCCTGAACGATGTAGTTCAGAGCTTAACACCCTTGACATCTTCGGCAAGCTTTTTGAAGATAAGAACTACATGGGTGGATACAGGATGCCAAATTCTATCCTCTGGCTGCCAAGAATCTGGTCGACAGCCAATCTCTCGCACAAATTGGGAGCCTTGGCGACAGCTGCATGCAAGCTAGAAAGCATTGTCAGGCTACCGTGCTTGGGCTGGGCTCTGCTCTATCTAACAACAAGGCAGATGAGGGAGCTTGAAAACCCACCCATTCGCTTTGACGCTAATTTGAGTGTCGGCGTTGGGGGGACGCCAATTGGTCTGTTCCTTCCATTCATCCAACCGCTCCACACATGTTCTACTTGCCCCTCGCCCCACCAGTTCCACTTGTTCCACTCGCTGCATACGCACAGTGTGGCGAGAGTGGCACTGGGTTCGGGGCTGAGGGCCTCATGGCATGGGAATGGGATGCGGAGCGCGGGGCGCCCGACCCATTCGATTTGTTCCACAATCGTGAATGTGTTGGACTCGGAATGGGGCGCGGGGCGAGTGGAAGAGTGGAACGAGTGGAACGGGCACGCCGAGTAGCGCGACTGGAATGCGCATAGCGAGTGGCACGAACGACTTTAATTTTCCCCCACGTGCGGTCGCAATGGTTAGTTTTGTTGTTCGATTATTCTTGATCACTTGACAAGACCAAGAACCTTCTCAACAAGGACGGGCTGGTTCTTCGCCCCCTCAACTGGGACTCTGGTCATCCCTACAATGAACCCCGTCCCATTGATGGCATCAATACTAAGTAAACAGTAGTCTACTGTTACTATGTAGTCATAGAATGCGCGGTCGGCTTCAAGAACAAGTCTGCCAGCGTCTTGAACATTGATTGATGCGGGCACCCAAACTGGTTGACACTTCCAAGAAACAAATTGCATCCTCGCTTGGGCGAGTCTTGCAAAGCTTTCGCACCGCTTCTGCGGACTCATTCGAGCGTTGCCTCGCGAGCTGCACAATCTGCTGCGATATCATGGCAGTAGCCCCGACACTATAAAAGCCTAAGCGAGGCCAATCTGACGTGCAGAGCAATCCGCACGCACGAAGGCACAGCAGTGGGAAAAATGGTTTGTGAAATGTTTCATGGCTCAGGGCAAGGCAGAGACTTCTCGAAGGAAGAATGGTTGCCCTCTCGGTACGTAAGGCGATCCACTGGATGTTGAGGCGGAAAACCATGACCCAAAGCGGCATAGTCCTTACATGTCTCATGTCTCATGGCTGACAGACATTGCGGCGAATACTGGCGGAAATCAGGACGAGAAATTCTCCCCTTCTCTTCACAGCAGACTCATGCCAATTCGGCCAGTCGACAATGCATCTCCCAGCTTGCTCTGCCAACAGCCTCAACGTCCGAACCATTTTCCAAGACATCGACCAGGAACGGAAGCGCTCTACCAATTCAGAGTCTGATCAGGGTAAGCATCGGAATGGGTTCCTTCTGGGGTTCCTTTTGACTTAGGGTTTCGGGAGTCTGGTTTAAAGGTTAACGGTCCCGCTTAGGGTTTTTAGTCTGGGTTGCAAACGGTCGATGGGCCGACGATTGTCGGACAGATGCCGGTCGGCGCCTGTCAGCCAAAGGCTAGGACCAAAAAACTATACAGCATCGTCAACATGCCGAGGCTCAACACGAGCAGAGGCTCCTGTACACAGATGCGACTCCAGTCGCAGTGCCGCCGTAGCGGCAAACAGCACCATGTCCTGCTCGGCCTCGGAGGCGACCTTGAGATCCGCCCACAAAGCTTGCTGCTCAGAGCCCACGAAACGGTCTCGGCAGAGACAGCTTGCAGCTTGCAGCGTCGTCGGCTTTCTGGTTGAGACGGCAGCAGGCGTCTGCAGACCCATGTGGCTGTGAATCGGAACACTAACAGCGCTCCATCTGGTACCTCATGAGCCGGGAAAATCAAGGAACGAATCACCCAATTGCAACTTGAGCAGTGATGCCTGGCCAGAGGCCAAATCAAGCTTAATGCAGAGAAAATGCAAGGAAGGCACTGCTTCGTAGCCTCGGGCAGCCGCAAGGGCCCGCCAAGGGCAGTTGGGGGCGTCAGTCACAAGGTGGCATTTTCACATGCTGCAAGTGAGGCCTGCGGCTCTATATCGAAAACATCACTGCCGGTGAGGGCTGCGCAAGCCGCTACTGGAGCCTCGTGAGAATCCTGAGTCAGCCAAACGACCCGATCATCGACATAGATACTGGCTTTGACACAGGAGAGGCAACATACTCGGCACAGAGAAAGCCGATGCACAAGCCAAGGGCCGGAGACAAAGGACAACCATGTCAAAGAAAGTGCTCAGGTCCTGTTACACGAAAGACCGCGTGCCTCGTCTCCAGACCCTCTTGAGGTGCTGATGCACGTCAGTCACGCTCCGGCCGGGTGCCGAGCCACACGTGCGGGGATTCCACCATTGTGTGATCCAGCCTTTGAGGCGCCGGGCAATCGCACGGGCGCCTGCACGCCAAGCCATGCTGGCTATGGGCCGCGTGGAATTCGAGTGGTCTTCAGGTCACTCAGTCGCAGACCTGTCCACTGCTCGCCTTATTGTTCCACGCGATCGGCAGGGTGGATCGCACACTCGGCAGCAAAGGGGCGGCCTGAGCCAAAAGCTCCTGTTCAGCACGGTGCTTCAGTGCTTCGCCCAGAGTGCTCGGAATGGCGGTCCGACAGCGCAGCACGGACCTGATCCAAGGCCAAGACTTGGCCGCCAAGTCGGGGCATGAAGGGTCGAGGCGAGGGAGCTCCGGAACAAGCTGCCTAGTATGACGCAAAGAAGAAGCAGCACGATGCATCAGACAAGTGTCCCACACCTGGGAAAGCCTCTGGGCAAGGCGGCGCAGGGCTTTAAGGGCCGGGGGCGTGTGACCAGCACAGCCGGGCTTCCCTTTCACAGGAACGTTGCACCGGATGCCATGGCCGACTACGAGGCTGCTCTGGGCACTCGATGCCCAAGTTTGTCTCAGCCCAATCCGAAAGACCGGCCCGAACCATCAAGCTCAGCAGGTCTTGCTGTACCTTCCAGGGCCTCAGCAAAAAGAAGGTTTGCACAAGGAGGCTTTGTGGCTGCCAGTGCAAGAGTCCACACAAACAACGCAGTGATCAGAAACCGCAAGGTGCAAAAGGTGTGTTCTCGACAGGCGACCAAATCCGGATGCGCAAGTGCGAAATCGATACGCCTTGTTCCCAGGGGCTTCGTGGTGGCCGGGGTGCCAAGACAAGCTTCATCAGCCGAGCGGATCAAGGTAGTGGAGACAGTGCCTTCCTGCTGAACACAGTTGAAATCCCAGAGCACCAGGAATAAACCACCGTACACAGCAACTGCCTCATCATGGACTCGTAGGCCCGTAGGCGGCCGAAGTGCGCGGCAAGTCGGCCGGGAACCCCAAGCACATGCGCAGTGTGGCCTTGCACAGGCCAGGCGACCCAACCTGCCGCCATCCGATCAACTCTGTGCAAGCCACGGGGATCCGGGGCACCGAAGCTAGTACAGAATCCCTTTTGCCGCCACGCATGTGCAAAACTAGCAGCAGACTGCCGGTTCACATCGACTTCCTGCAGAGCGGCCACAGACCCCTGATGATCATGAAACAAGGCACGCGCGCGGCATCAATGGGGCTGCAACCAGCAACTTTGCGCTTTCGGGTCCACCACGAAAGTGACGGAGTTTCACCTGCTGGAGGCGAATACCAGGGCCATGTTTCCCAGCGCGCGACTGAAGATACTTCTTGCCTTGCTTGAACACATGGCCACAGCGGCGGCACTTAAGCCATTCTGAAAATACACATTGTGAATGACACGCTTGGCACTCTTAGGGGCATTCTTTGCCCGTTTCTAGGAAAAGCGCACAATGAGAGGGCACACCACTCCCGGACTTATAGCGATGTTAACCATGTTCAGCATCGTAATCCGCTGCCTGGCTTTGGAAGTGGGAGTGCATTGCTGTTTCGGGTTAAGGTCGGGATGGTACTGCTCTCTGTGCCGCTTCTTGAGGAAGCCCAGATTGGGTCTGAAGGTGTATTCTCGAACCCGTTTGAAGACCCCAATCTTACACAAAGGACAGCGCCAGATGAAGTCAGAGTCCTTGCCTCGGCGTAAGAACCAATTATCACTGGACTTGCAAACGGGCCTCAAACCTTCACCATTATGCTGCCGTTTAAAGTGGGTGCAGACCGCTGGACTGCGCAGTCCACACCGTTTGGGCTTTGAGGCTGGTTGCGCTCGAAGGCGCACGGCTCCGTGCACCTTCCGAAAAACCTGGGGCCTGTCACGAGATGCCTGGGTGTGCACCGAGGCCACGGTGTGCTTGGACAAAGGCGCACTGGAAGCCCGGGTTCATCCAGAGCTGGAAGAGAGCGTAATCGAAGCCCGAGTCCACGCGCCACTGAGACTCGCGAAAGAACTGAGGGGGCCACAGACGTTGAACGGCTGCCGGCGCGAAGATCAACGACCTGTCCAGGACTGCATGGGGCTGAAGAGGCCTTCCGGGTACGCCTCACTGTCACTGTCGGGCAATATCAAGTCGATCTGCTTCGGTGTGTACCACAAAACCAACGCCTTAGCCTTCCAAGCAGCCTTGAAAGTCAGGGTGCCCAAACGAGGGTCCCGAGGGATAACAATGATGCAAATGTTGTAGTTGCGACTCAAAGCCTTGGTCTCAAGTGCATGTGGCGGCGTGCGCCGACTCGTTGGCTGCCAGATGGAGGTACTTCAAAAAATGGCCGCCTCCTCGGTGGGACGAGCATCCTTCAGCTTTTTCGAGGGATGGTCCTGCCCGTCCCACTCGGGAAGGCGCTGTGCTTGCGGATTTGCTCATTGGCCTTCGCGCGACGATCGCGATGGCTGAAAGCGATCTTCTTTAGTCTTCTTCTTGCCCGACATCCATTGCAGGCCGCATGCCACCGCATGGTACATGCAAGCACCATCCTTGGGCATCGCCTCTAGCTGGTCTGGTCTAGCTTGCATCCCTTAGGGCACCTCGAATTGTGACACCGCGCGGGGCTGGGCGCGTGACTCCTTCCAGCTCGCATCAGTTGTCGGAGCCTGCGGCACCTGAGTGGGGTCCAGCACAGATGGCCTTCTTGGGACCAGAGGCACGGGTGAGGCCTTCAGAAACTTCTGCTTGGCTCACAGGCGTCACCGATGGCGACGCTCAGGGGTACGATGTCCGTATCACCATGCTTGTGTGTGCCGCGGAATCGGTACATGTACTCCAGGCCCAGCCCCCGGTGATGAATCAGGGTGACATTGTTGAAGGCTTGCTGGAGCACGGTGGTCACCTCTGGCGGTCCCCATCCGGGACCTGCCAAACGCTTGGAATGGCCTTCGAGACGTCTTGCGGGGTCCTGGCTCCGATGCGGCCGCCTTGCGTTGCCAGGCTCAGGCTGGGCGACATTCAAGGGGGCTTTGAAGGTACGCTTGGGCACTGCCGACGTCAGATGGGATGCCGTTGCGGCCGTTGTGTGGGAAAGCCAAGAAGATGCCCGCGCCACCGCTGGCAGCGATGATCGATGTAAACTCTTTCTGAGCAAGCCGTGCCATGCCGAACAGCTGTCGCGCCTTTGATCGTCTCCTCAAGCCAACCGAGTCGGCAATGATGACCCTCTGATCATCGTAGATCTCGAGGCTGTTGTCGCCGCCAAAGAGACCCAGAGCAGCCTCCACATCCAATGGCTCAACCTCCGTCGGGAGGCCATACTCACAATCACATTTCCACAGCGCACTGCAATAGGGCCACAGCCGTCTGCCTCCGTGGGCAGTCCGCTCAGCAATTATTTCCTTTCTGGTCCTGGTGATTTTCTGTCGGAGCACCTTGCACCATTGACTGTTGGGAGGCAGGGACAACCCATTCCTGCGTCCTTTCGGCCAGTGGCGGTCTTGCAGCCCTAGCTTGCAAGGCGGTTCATCCAAAGATTGCTGCATCTTGAGCAGCCTGCGCCTCATGTGAAAGCACCAACCCCCGGAACTCGGGGCCATGGCGTGGAAGGTTGGCCCGTGTCCTAGGCTACACGGTTCCCAGCTCAGTGGCGCGGACGCCCCTTGAGCCAAAATGGCTACGTTTAGGGTTCCTTTTCGGGATCTATATTATGGGGGCTTTGTGGGATGTAGGGTTTAGGGAGTTTGGAGGCTTACTTAGCCTTTGAGGGTTCCGTGTAGGGTTCCTTTTAAGGGTTCCTGTAAGGGCTTTGTGGAAATCAGGGTTTGCAGTAGGGAGTTTGGGGTCTCAGCCCTTGAAAATCAAACAACATCACAGACAACCTGTTCCTCTGCTCCTAGCGCCCTCTGCACCTCCAAGCATGTCTGCGAGGGTCTCCATGTCTTTATCCACGAATGCATCTGCTGTATCAGCTCGTGGTTCATGCCCAGACTTCTCCAGCCGCACCCTCCTTGTTTGAATGACTCACAACATGAGAACACGTGCAGGTTTCTCTGAAACATGAGTGATGTAGCTTGGGCAAGCACCCCAACAACGAAGGATTGAGCGCAATGTCGGGCATCATCCTGCTGTCAAAACACATGCCCTTGCAAAGCTGGTGCACTCGGTTCTGCCTGTCAAGGCTTCTGAACCCAGCTGCTGTCGATGACATGCGCGGGGCTCAACTACTCTCGTAACACCTTGTCAGCAACCATATAAGCATGCCTTGCCAAAACGTCATCGTGCCCTCCCCGACGTCTGTTGAGTGTTCTCGAACCTTTTGTGTCTGTCATCCTTGGGGCCATGTCCGGCAACTCTTGACAACTTGAACCTCAGATGGCTGCAATTCCTGGTCAGATGCTCCAAAGCTTAAGCAGGCGAACTCAACCGCATGGTTGCGCGCTGTGCGTTTCCCCACCCCCCGCCCACTTGCCTCGAGCCAGCCTAAACCCTGAAGCCCAAAGCACCCAACCATTCCAGGCTCCCCCAAGCCGCTCCACAGACAGAAGGAGAGGTGGGATGACCACACGCAGAACCATTCGCCGTCTCCGGAGCCGGTGCTAAGTGGTACGAGTAACTGGCCCGTTTTCACGCCCCAAATGGAATTAACCGAAGCGTTTCTCTGCGGATGCTCTCAGCGTCATGAACATCAAGTTGTCTTGCACTTCACGGGGCATGGACGTGACGAGAAAACGCAAAACAAAAAAAAGCAGACTCACGAGCCACGAAGTCCGGCAGCAGGTGCTCTTGGACACAAAACTCGAGTTCCAGAGTATTTCGCGTGGGCTCTTCGCTTTAACGTGCTCAGTAAGTCATCAGCAGGCCATCCCCATTTTAAGGATGCTGGCTGCGCTGGAGCCTCAAACAAATTGGATGTCACGTCTCATTTTGGGGTCATCGGGCGCGGCTCGGGGTAGTCATAGAACTTGGGCTCGGACCGTTTCCTCCGGCCACAAGCCAAGAGCACCTGGATGGCTTTGCATGTTTGCACTCTGCACACGGCTCACCATCAGTCGGGACGTGATGAGAGTTGACAATCATAAATCTTGCAGCATCGCACGGTCGCCACCTTTGGCATTGAATGGTGCTGCTACGCATTGATTGCAGTAGTTAAAAAGATTGATTGACCAAATGTCACGAACTGGCCTGCAATGCGCTGACGAGCTGCATGAGGCTCAATACTGCGTCAGCCTGTGTTCACAGTCCAACTGCAGTTCTGCTGCAACTTGCAGGACCGGGCTAGCTGTGCAGTGCTGGCCGGGGATGCTTGGCCAATGGCCTCCCCTCAACACTTGAAGACAAGACCGACAACCACTTGGAACGCTTTCCACGACGGACTCGGATTTGGGCGACTCTCCACATGTGCATCTGAAGTGTTTGAAGCCGCAGAGGTAGAACGAACACAGAAATTTCCTTGCCTGTGCCGCCATCGAAGACACTTGGCCCTTGTACCAAAGATCTGTTGGCCGTGAGCCTCAGAACTCGGAAGCCAAGACAACCCGAAGACCCGACCTCACAGTGTCGAGGCTTGTCCTGGTTGAGGGCACGGCAGGAGCTGCTCTCGGCGGTCCAGAAGTTCGTAGCGCTCCACGGCAGCGCCTCGATAGTCGATCGGCGAAGGCCTTGCCAATCGCAAGCTCTGAACCACATGTGCGAAGCGGATCTCGTCAGCAAATCCTTGCGTTCTGACAAAGTGACTAATAGTCATGATTGCAAACAGCAAAGCCGTCTCGGCCAAGCGCGCATAGTGAAGGCAAGCCATCTTGAACGCAGCAAGCACGAGTGGAGCCTTCCGAGATCACGGATCCCCCTGGCCCTGGGCACAGCCTACAACTGGCTGTGCGCACCTGCCCACTGCAAGAGACGCAGCGATTGTCAACCCTCACCACAGGCTTCTGGGCCTCGTGAGGTGACTCAGCAGGCAGCAGCGCTCAGAAGAATGCACACGCAACGATACGTAACGGTGCGCGGTTCCACGAAGGCAGTGCAATGGACAGCACCTGTGGCAAACCGTGGTTTGCATCCGTGTTGGACGCGTTGGTCGGCTTCATGCCTCCGGGCCTAAGTTAGCACAAGGCCTTGGCCGGTTCCGACAAATACCGACAATTTGCTGGGTAGCAAACGCCGATTTCACACGGCCTCAGACACTGTGCAGCATACAAGCAGTGATCCGAGAGCGCGCAGTACGCTGCCGATAACTGCTTGAATCCCGGTGTTCTGAAGCCCAAGGACACGCTTCATATGCTGTCTGCCACAAGAACTTCTACATTCAGGTATGTGTCAAGTACAAGATTGCAAAGCCATGGGCGTGAACCAGGCCAGGAGTATGGTGACAAAACCAACACGAAAAGGAAACACCGTGATCAGCTTGCACTAGGCTCCGCGGCACTCGGGTCTGGGTTGCTGAGGTTCAGTGTGTGTCGTGCGGGCCAGAGTTCGCCTTGAAACATCTTCCACACAGAACCCACGCAGCACAACAGCACACGGCTCACGAAGGCTTTGGATCCACATCTGACTGGGCTGCAGTCTCGTCATCTTTGACCTCGCGAACCAAGCGGATCACGTCTTTAGGATTGGCATTCTTGGACCAGCACCCCCATCAACGAAATTCTGTCGCGATCCACTGCATCCTGCTTCTCGAGAGCCTTAGAGGAGACTCCGGAGAAAGTCCCCGCAACTGTTCGTCAATGTCGCAGTTGGGAAGGCGGCACACTGCATCAGCTCGCTCTCCAGGACTGGCTGCAGCCTGAACTGACCCTGTGTGCTACCAGATTTGGATGTCAGGTCGGCTCAGGCTTCGACACCGAGTAGATGTGCTCGATTCCACGGAGGACTGCCTTCTTATGGCGCTTCTCGATTTTTCTCATGATGTGCAACCCGAAACACCCTCGCCAGGCTCAGGGCATCTGAGTTGTCAAAAACACCACCAAGTCTCTTCTTCAGCGCCTTCAGCCTTACGGTGTGGCTACAGCACAGGAAGAGATGCTTTATCACTGTTGCCAAGGCACTCGTTGTCTGCCGAGGTTTTGTCCCTCTTCCTCCGTCTGTTTAGTTCCTGCAAGCAGCATGCCCCCACAAAAGGCAGGTACGGCTCCCGTCGGCGCCTCCAGCTCTTCACGTGCTTCGGCAGCTAAGGCATTTGCCTGTGGCGCAGAAAGCAAAGCCCGCGCTCAAAGCAACGATCGACTCCAGAAAGAAAGACTTCGACCTGCTGTAAACCCGGTCTGTGGGAAGACTGCAGTTAACAGGCGACTTGCGGCGGGTCTGCAACATCCGCGACTTCGTAGTTCCTCCTAGGAAATCGACCTGCCCATACACTTACGCATAGACTTCAGGAACAGACTTCGGATTGTCGGCCCACATCGACCGAATTTCATCTTCAATGTGCCCCAAACCGCATGTCGTCTTCATCAGAGTTTCGTCTTCAGGGCCGAATTTCGTGTTCAGGGCCGAATTT